TCACATTGTATATAAGTATTCAAGACAAATTACACAAACTCTCTTATAATGCAGGAGAAAAAAATTGAATGATAGATTTATTAATCTGATATTTACACTTAGTTTGGTTTTCAAATTTGGGCCAATTGTGTATTATCAAATTTGTTTATAAGTATATATTATAGGATATATAATATAAATTTTAAAATATTATAAATTATATATTTATATTAATATTATTCTTGTAAATATAATTTAATTATAAATATATTAAATATATTATTCTAAAAAGATAGTTATGTTTATACATTTTTTATATATTTTAAAATTTTAATAAAATATTTAATGCTAATCATATTTAATTTTATTATGATTATAAGTTTATATATTAATGTTAAAATATTATTCTTAATAATTTATAAATTAATTATTCCAAAGATGATATTATATTTATAAATTTTGGTTATATATTTTAAAAAGTTTTATAAATATTATTAATGCTTGTATTTTTATTAATCACATGTAGGTTTTATATTTTAATAATTATTATTGATTACAAATCATCTAAATATCTCTTTTTCTTTTCATTCGTTGTCTGAACCGATTTCTCAATCACTGAATTTCTTCTACTTCATATAATTATTACATCATCTGATACCTCTTTTTCTTCGCATTCGTTGTCTGAACCGATTTTCACAATCATGAATTTTCTTCTTCATATAAATATTTTAGTGGAACCGGTTTCAACTTATTTTCTGCAATTTCTATAATTAGTTAGTCCCTGTGGAGAGCTTCTTCATGTACAATCGCAATAGGCTTTATATATATATATATATAAAGAAAGTCCTATTGGCTATTGTCTGACAAATATATAAATATAGCATGTTTGAACAACATTGCATTTCAATGTTCTATTAATTCAATTAATATATATTATGGAAAACCTAAAATAAGAAATAAAAAATTCGTATGCCCGAGTCGTTAGCAGTCTAGCAACTACGTTACTTTTAATTTTTTTATAATGATTTTGATTTAATACTATTGAGATATTACTAATTTTTTGTAAAATTTATCCGGCCAATTCAGAATTCACGGGAGAAAAATTATGCGTAGGTTTCGCTTTTGGTGGTTTGTGCCTCCGTCTCCCGCTTCGGGAGGGGAATCCTTGCGCCGGAGATCGTCTCTGTTCAGGAAAGTTCTTTTTTTCCTGCCTGTATTTTCTTCTTTCTTGAAGCTTTTGCGTGTGTTTTTCCGTTGGTTTTGACCGGTCTTTCCGAGTATGTCTTCTTCTAAACTAAGGACGGTCCTCTGGTTTTGGTGGGTTTCCTCCACTCTCGTTCGTATTAGAGAGGCTCTTGATGGCTCAAAACCGATTTTTCCTGATCTTAGGCGTTCGACTCACCGTGGTTACCGTTCTTGTGTGTCTGTCTTGGAGATTTCTGAGCGTTGCGATCCCTTTCCCAGTTTCTTTAGTAGTTTTTTTCCCTTCTAAGAGACCTTCTCTGGAATGCTATAAGAAAATTTTTTTTTTGAACCTAAGCTTAAGGGTGAGGTTTCTGTAACTGTTTTAGATCAAACTCATAATTCTGATTAAGTTAGCAAAGCGATCTATGATACTGCGCGGTGTTTGTGTTGTCACCGGTCTTACATTGCGTGTTCAACTGTTAGATGAAGCTATAACTAAGTGGTCTCCGACTCTGGATGATTGGGGTGGAATCTCCGATTAATTCCGATTGGATTTCTTTCCGCGCCTCTCGTCCCATTTTTTTGCACCCGCATTTGTTTGGTTTTAGTGAAACTTTGGTAAACCTTAAAAAATTGATGAAGCGACTTCGGTGGGTTCTCGCCCTCTAATGCTCGTGGTTTTAAGTTGAGCTTTGATATCACGAAATCCCTACCCTAAACAAGTTTGGCTTGGTTCTGATTTTTGGCGCTTGTTCAAGGATGTCATTCTTGATGAATTTTCCTAATTTTTGTTCTGTTGCAAATGTATCGGGCGATGCAAATGGGTCGTGCAGACGGTTTTGGTTGCTTTCTTAACTCCAAGCTGGGGGGGAAATGGTTATGATGCTCCGGTTTAGCTGGTCCGGTTTGGGTGGAATTAACATGTGGTGGTATAATGGTGGTGTTCTGTCTGAACTGATGATTACTGAGTCTTAACGCTTCGTCTTTGCTTAGTGGGCAGAGGTTGCTTTGCGTTTGATGCGATTGATGGACTGAATCATGTTATTATGGCCTTCAAACTTAATACTGCTAAGTTGGTTGATTTCGCGTCCAGTTGATGTGTTCCAAATGTTATTAATTGACTCGGTTTCTGATTTGGTATGATAATGGTTATTAAGGTGTTGGAATCTTGCCTGAGGTTGTTGGAGGTTTCTCTTTCTCCAATTGCTACCCCTTGTTCGCTAATGTTTTGCCCTACTAACTTGCTGACTTTTGGCAATTTATTACTTTCAGAGAACTTAATACTTTAGTGGAGGGTGCTGTTGTTAACTCTTGATATTGTTTTGGATCGGAATGGGTGAGGCGTGCCTTTCTCCCCTGCCTAACGACAGTGAGAATGGTGTTCCGCTTTGGATACGATTGTGATGTTGCCCGTTAATCTATTAATCCGCAGCTATGGCCTAACTCTTTAGGTGATTGCTCTGGTTGGAATATTAGGAACAGAAAAAATGGTCGGCTGTTGATTCAATTTTCGGACTACTGATGTGAAGTGATTGGATACGGACTAGTGACTTCTCTTGGTTAGTGCTAAAATTGGAGCAGAAGCGGCGGAAAATTTTTGGGGGAGCGACGTCGCCGACATTGATTTTCCATTGCTTTCGTTCGTTTCATCGTTTCCGAGGCTTTGTGGTTTTATGGGCTATAAGCAATGAATGTGGTCGGGACTCGCGCCTGGTCGTCTTGGCTTTGTGGCAACGCTTTTATTTGACGGGTCCGTGCGTGGCGCTGGGTCGCTGGGAAGCCTCGGCCGTACTACTGGCTTTATTTTTCGCCTTAGATTCTGTTTGTTTTTCTTTTACTTTGTTTCCATCTGTAGCTGTGTACCTTTGTTGATTGAGTAATGAATTTTTTTGGTTAAAAAAAAAAAGAAAAACAAAAAAAAAACGGAAAAATATACTGCGTGCGGCCGAAATGAAAAGATGCTTTGAATGGCACCTAAGGTCGATAATTATAATCATACTTAAAAATTCTCAACAAGGGCGGGGGTATTTCTTAAACTATGATAAAAAGTGATAATATGTTATTAAGTGGGGTGTCAATATTTGACACGATACGAAAATCCGACCCGAAAAATTTGGGTTGGACATGACCCATTTCAAAAACGGGTAGGGTCGCGGTTCCCGATTCGACCCGTTTGAAAAAATGGTCGGATCGCGTTAAGCACGGGTGCCGGGTCAACCGGAAAAACCCATTTAATTTAAAAAATTTGGTTGCCCCCGCAACCCTTGCCCTCGTCCGTTGCCCGCTGCCCGTGCGAGGCTTGCCTCTGCACCCGCACCCGCGCGCCCGCAGCCCCACGCCGCGCCCTGCGTCCGCTGCCCCGCGTTCGCCACACTTTGACGCCTTACGCCTGCCGCCGTTCGAGCATTCCGTGCTGGCAGAACCCAAATCCGAATCGGGTCGGGTCAACCCGGCAACGCTGACGGGTCGGTGTTCGGGGTCGGACATTTCGGACCTGCTTATATGATCCGGGTCGAGTTTAGTGGTTGCACCCGTTTTGACCCAGGGTCAGTTCGACCCGACCTGAAACCCGATGTTTGACCACCCCTATTTTAAGCACGCATTTAATATAATATATATATATAGTATATATATATATATTGTTTTGCGGGCTTAGAAATTACGGCGGCGATAGAGATTTGATTCTACGTCTTAGCGTGTTACGTATAACTACGCACACACAGAAGAACACAGGATTTTTACGTGAATAACCCTAAAAGGGAAAAACCACGAGGCCTAGCCCAGGTGAAAAGCATTCCACTAGATTTTGAGTCGGTTTTACAAATAGACATGAATCACCTCCAGGTGAACAGATTACAATCAACTACTTAAGTAAGGCTCGGGTCCTCGGCAGGTACGTAGGGACTGAATGTCGGGCCTGAGTAGGACGTAGGGACTTAAGTGCCGGGTCTTGAACAAGACGTCGGGTCTTGGCAGAAGTAAGGACTGAATATTGGGATTTGGGTCTTTGGCAGGACGTAGGGAACTGAACGTCGGATCCTTGAAAGGGTGGTTCGCGAGGTCCGCGGTGCGTGCGGCGGTGGTCCGACGAGATTCCTGCGGTGGTTCGGCGGTGGTCCGGCGAGGTTCTGTGTGGTCCGGCGTGTCGGCGGGCTGTCGAGGAGGACTCTTCCTTCTCTCTCTCCTTCTCGTTCTCTTTCTTCTCTCTCTTGCTTAGATGCTCTCTTGTGAAGATGAGGGCTCTATTTATAGATTTTTGGAGTGGCATGTCCGTAAATCAGGTGTGAGATCAAGGGCGAATGGGCGTGGTCAAATGGATCGGCCGATATTGAATCTACGATCGTACACCGTCGGTTGACAATTTGGGAGGCCTTAATGATGTCGGAATTTAGTGATCTTTGGGCTCGTTGGATTCGTACCGTACGAGCGTTCGATTCGAGTATAAGCTCGTCAAAATCGGAGACCGTTTGGTAACTCAAATTGCAGTTTGAACCTTCCAACAGGCTTTGAGCTTGATTACGGACTTATTTGGGCTCGGATTGGGTTGATTCTTGGTGTCGTTGGGTTCGTATTCGTAGACCTCAGTTCGACGTAAGCTTGCTGAAAATCGGCAGTTCATTATGCATTCCCGGATTTAATTTTGAAGTTTCCACTAGCTTTTGCTTCGAGATTCGTGCCCAATCAGCTAATTTGTATAACGGTATCAGTTCGCCCCCTATTTTCGACGTCGAAGCCCCAGGAGTCCGAAATATAAGTGTCGACATTTTCGTTGGCGAATACAACATTTGCTTTCCATAATGTTGAAATTTGGCAAAAATCAAGTTAAGGAGGCCTCGATGAGCTCTGAAAGTGCAAAATTGAGTCCGGAGACGTCGAAAACGTGTCCCGGGGACCCCAAAACGTCGAAACGGAGTTCCCGGACGGATTTTTATTTATTTTTTTTTATTAATTGTTTTTTTCATTCGTTATTGGGTGGTAAAAATTTTATCTTTGCGGCCCCAAATGGGCTAAGGGCGGCCGGACCGGGCCGGACCGGCGTGCCGGCCGCGCCTGCCGCCGGCGAGCAACCGCCTGCCGGCGCCGGACGCCGCGCGTGGCACGCCTCGGGCCGCGAGACCCGACTGCGGCCCGCCTGGGCCGCGCCTGCGGCACGCCTGGGCCGCGCCTGCGGCCCGCTTGGGCCGCCGCCTCGGCGCCGGCGCGGCGGCCCGCCGGGCCGCCGGCCGACGCCTGCGGCCCGCGCTGCGCCCGCCTGGGCCGCGCCTGCGGCCCGCGCTGCAGCCCGCTGCGGCGGCCCCGCCGGCGCCGCCCGGGCCGCGCCGCGGACCCGCGCTGCAGCCCCGCCGGTGGGCTGCTGGGTCCGCCTCCTGGCCGCCGCGGCGGCCCGCCTGGGCGCCTAGGGCCCGCCTGGGCCCGCGGCGGTCACGCCGCCTGAAGCTTTCCACCGCCGTTATTGAACGTAAACGGCGGGTCCGTTCGGCCCACCGAGC